ATGGAGCCAGAGATCAAAAGCATAGTCACAAGAGCCCAAACTACACACCATTGGCATCAGCTTTCTTATAGCAGTTGCCTGCATCTACATAGTTACTGGCAGCTTCGTGTTTGCTCCCAATCTTACAGAGTTGTATTTGGGCTGCCTGACAGAAAGCACNAGTTTTCTCTGCTTTCTGTTCTAGCACCATCTAATATGAAAGAAATCATCAGTAATTGAAAATAGTTGTGCAAATTATACATAATTATACACATCACTGATGTGACTCGCTCAAAGTTCACTTTTTTTGTGAATTGACCCTTAGCAAAAGCAAACATTCGTCAGCCCAACTTCCAGGGGTAAAGAGCTTGGGAAGAAGTGACTGGTAGCATTTGTTCCCATATGCACCCTCTTTACCCAGGGGAACAGTATGTCATGACTACATTATTGCTTCATAATCAAATAATTAAGAAGACATTTTATTTATTTATTTTTATCTTTTTTAGTTCAAGGTCTAAAAGATAAAACTTAAACAGGTTATTGTATTAAATAAGTTTTTTAGAATGTACAAGTTGACAGAAGGTAAATCTATGCTGACAAATCTATCTTCAATTTCAGTGTCAGACTAGGAGTGTTCTTAAGGAGATATCCAATAGCAAGAGTTTTTGTGATTGTTTATATGGTAAGTTTTTCTTTCCTTGAAATATTTTTGGCTGAAAACAGAAGGCAAGATGAATTGTTTTATTAAGATGTACAATTAAAATGTTCCCAAAGAAAGCAAAGTAGAAAAGCCAAGAGCTCATGCATAGTATTTTACAGTGAGCATTTTCCTATTTTTTAGTTAATTCTTCACTTCTGGGTAATGGTAGTGTTGTTGACATACCAGCCAGAGATGCATGGAGATGGCTTCACACACAACAACCTCCCAGAACCTCCAGGAAAATTACCAGGATAGACGAAGGATTTACAACCACAGTCACTTCAATTACCTTGAAATTCTAGGAAATTTACATTTTAAAAAAATCACTACATTCTCCCTGATCATCCACAAAAATTATCAGGATAAATGGAGTAACAAAATACAGATACACACACATAAAAAAATATTCCCTGCTAAGTGACAAGTTTAGTAATCCCTGAAGACAGACTTAGGCCAGGCAAAATTGATAAGTTAATGAGCATGAAAGACCCTAATTGTGAGGATTTTTTTTACTTTTTTTTTTAAATGGAGAAATGCATTTTGTATTGGTTTAAACAGGAAAAATGTACAATTGAATTCAAGAATAATGTTGTTATGCTCAAAAATTGCCCACTTTGTGGATTTGACATTTTCTACCCATAAAATAAAATTGAAGAAAAGTAAACTGACCCTGAAGTTTGTTTACTGCGCTCATTTAATGTTGTGTTAAAAATATTGACCAGGTTCACAGAGATTTGCCACTTGTTAAGCAGTTCATCAATTTTCTCTGGCCTAAGTATTGAGTTTGAGACTGGAATGGAGGAGACAAGTAGAAGAGAGTGGCGCTTTTATTGTGCCCTGTGAGCTGCATGGCCAATTCAAAGACATTTGTGTGATTGGTTAAGAATGGAATTATGTAGTGAAAATTTAAGAACGAACCCAGTGCAATAAAGAATTATTATAGATCATTTATTGTAATTTTGGCCTTGAAACATTTTTTTTTTGTTGTTCAAAAGGCATTGTTGATGAAACAAATAATGTAGTTTTGCTCTCTGACAATACTGTCAAAAAAATGTCATCTAAAAATTTGTTTCACCCATGAAAATATACTTTGTAAAGGTAAAATTACAATGCCTTTTAAAGCAGGTGTCTGGGATTACTCCATTATTATTCAAGCCAAGCAGCTAAAATTTGAGATCAAAATTTTTTATATTTGTGAAAAAAAGATACATTCATGGTTTTCAGACAAATTAAATTATTTTCAATATTTACTAAAAACTATTTTATAGGTAACCACTATGTTAATGAATAAAACTAGAATAGATAAGCCAAGAGAGGTAAATTGCTTATAATGTTCTTTCACCATAATATAAGATTTTGTAAATAAGCTTTAGTATGTAATTTATGGGCACATTCGGAACAAGCTGATCTGCTGACTAACATATTCACAGGTCAAATGTGGCCGACCAACTTGAAAGCTCCCCTAGTAGACACTGAATAGATTCCCTGTGGGGATAGCATGGTAAACTTTCAAGAAGGTCAGCCATATTTGATCTGCGGATCTGTTAGAGCGCATTCTCAACGAATTAAGCCAGGCTTTACAAAGCCGGTGACCTAAAAATGGCGGACATACATGAAAGAAAAACCGCCTAATCTTTTAATAGTCTCTCCGCCTCTCACACGCCTCCCCACACGTCGTCCCTGCGGGGTACAGTAATTAAATCTCGGCTCCGAACATTAATATTTCCGTGAATATCTCTGGTGATATTATCTCCGTAGATAGTCGATTCATTGCTGTTCTACGGGCCAAATTATTCCTTTTTCGTCTCTGTTTTCAAAGATAATAGAACAGAAGAGCTTTTTTCCTTCGATCGCCTTCAGCCGCCATGGTTTCTTCACTACGAGTATAACTGATGAGCATGCGCACTTAATATTTCTCAGGTAGCTTCCGCATGGCGAACGGAGCCGAGATTTAATTACTGTACCCCGCAGGGACGACGTGTGGGGAGGCGGAGAGACTATTAAAAGATTAGGCGGTTTTTCTTTCATGTACGTCCACCATTTTTAGGTCACCGGCTTTGTAAAGCCTGGCTTAACTCGTTGAGAATGCGCTCTTAGTCTGCTGATCAACTTTGGTTGTGAATGTGGCTTAAGAAACCATATGTAAATGCAAAGACTGATATTTAATGGAATGGACAGGGGGGTTTAATAATATCAACATTGATGTGTCTATAAGATACAAGGGCATGAAGAGTATGCCATAATTAACAAGACTTGTATCGGAAGGTTTTGTCTTTTATTTCTAAATTGTACAGATCTACATGCCAAGACTGAAACAAAATCCCTATGCATTATGTTTTATGTACTTAAATAAAAAGTAACCACCGTGACCATTCCTGACCACATTATATGATAACAGTGTTTTATCAAATATTTAAATTATTTGATGTAAAAAAACCCAGTCAGTGAATCCATTTAAAATTAGCTCAGTTACAGATACATTGCACTACAAATGTCATCTTTGTTCAGAAAGAGAGAGATCAATTGATAATAATAAACTATACAGAATTTATCTAAAACAGAAATATTTTATTGTATTGTTATATAGATATGTACCCAGTGGTTGGTGTGTGTTTACACACAGGTAATGTTGCTAGTTCACAGTTAATAACTGTCGAATTCATTGTAAATATTTTCTTATAGTATATTTGGGAATAAAGAAAATGTGGACTTCTCTTTTTTCTTTGTCACATCATCTAAGTCAGGAAGGGGTGTTGTAAATTTTAGAACAATATTATTGTTCCTATTTACTTTAAATGTAAAATGCTCCTACTAGTCTCTTTGTGTGTGTAGTAATGTTCATCATAGAACCTTCGGGCCAATGAACCCCTGATTACCATTTTTTGGACCAATGAACCTTCGGACCAATGAACCTTCAGACTATCAAGATGCACCCATAACATAAATATATACGCAAACCAGTACATACATATACAAAATGGGGAAATCCATTTGTTGATGTGAAGATTTTTTTTACAAATAACCACCACCAAAAGTATGCCATGTTAAAAGCATAGAGGTGGCAATGAATTTTGTTCAGGCAGATTCAAATTACTTTGATACAGTGGTTTCAATCTTGGACTCACAATGCACCTCAGATGTATATTGTGTTTAATCAGTCCAATATTTAATATAAGAAAAAGATGAATGTTGATGTCATGTATACTAGTAGGTAGACCTACTGGTAAAGGCATTGAGAACATAAATACATGTAAATACCGTAATGACTTGATCTTTTTAATAGGGAAAAATCTTTCAGATATGTAATTTTGGAATCAATGAAAAATATGTAGCATTTGTGGTGCATTTACTGTACAGAATAGAAATACAAGGTGGTCTGCCTTTTAGTTTTCTTAATTTGCTACCACTCAATGCTAATGTTATAATTTCAAGAATTTATTACTTAGAGAATGCTTTATTTCTAAAATTCAGAATTTTCCCTCATTGAAAAGAGTAATTATCGTATATGCTACATTTTTTCCTAACATTTCTTTCTCTACTAACCCAAGTTATTATTTTTTTTTTACTGATTTTCATGTATACACTAAAGATGTCTTGGAACAGTGTTGAAGGTTGCTCAGTTTGAATGTTGTAACTTGTATGTTTTTTGCTGCATTTTCAGTGGCGTGGGGGGGGGGGGGGGGGGGTTTC